TCTTTTTAAGAGACCTGTAAATGTTTTTAAAAGGGTTTACATATAATTAAATTCCTCTCTATAGTTGTTAACTAGTGGTGATTTGTTTTATCTAGGCTTAAGAAAATATTCTGAGATAAAAGTTTGTAGTTAAATGACGTACATTTCCTGCCGTTAGATCTCCAGTGGACAAAAAACCAGAGATGGACATGACAAGTTCTCCTGTAGTGTCGTTAGGTAGCCTGAAGCCTGAAACTGCCAGCAGCTTCTCCACGTATTTGAAAGATCCGTTCGTTAAGGGCGTCCTCTCAGCCACCTTTTCTATGACGTCCAGCATCCTTTAAAACACAGGGAAGGCTTTATCTTAGGCTCAGAATGAGGGGGCTAGGGCTAAAAATAAAACTAAACACAAAATCAAAAGAAAATATAAGGGCTATGGCGGGATAGTGCTAAGGGCAATAGGCTAAGGGCAATGGGCCAAAGGCTATGGGCAATGGTCTATATTGGCTATATGGGCAATATGAGCTATATGGGCTACACGTGCTATACGGGCTATACGGGCTACAAGGGCTAATATGGGCTACATTGATTATTTGGGCCATGGGCTAGGGCTAGGGTTGGATTATGGCTTGGGCTAGAAAATCTGATTAGCACCCTAAAAGTATATGCAAAATAGATTATAGAGACAAACACTTGTTTTGTAAGTCATTTACTTTTCAGGCAGATCCTTAATTTAATTACTATGCATAGACAGATAACATAAACGTTCAACCTCAGTTCTGAACCCTTTACCTCTTTGCTTCCAAACCCCTTTCGTCGGCCAGTCATAGACAGATAACATAAACGTTCAACCTCAGTTCTGGATTCTTTACCTCTTTGCTTCCAAACCCCTTTCGTCGGCCAGTCATAGACAGATAACATAAACGTTCAACCTCAGTTCTGGATTCTTTACCTCTTTGCTTCCAAACCCCTTTCGTCGGCCAGTCATAGACAGATAACATAAACGTTCAACCTCAGTTGTGAACCTTTTACCTCTTTGCTTCCAAACCCCTTTCGTCGGCCAGTCATAGACAGATAACATAAACGTTCAACCTCAGTTCTGAACCCTTTACCTCTTTGCTTCCAAACCCCTTTCGCCGGCCAGTCATAGACAGATAACATAAACGTTCAACCTCAGTTCTGAACCCTTTACCTCTTTGCTTCCAAACCCCTTTCGCCGGCCAGTCATAGACAGATAACATAAACGTTCAACCTCAGTTCTGAACCCTTTACCTCTTTGCTTCCAAACCCCTTTCGTCGGCCAGTCATAGACAGATAACATAAACGTTCAATCTCAGTTCTGGATTCTTTACCTCTTTGCTTCCAAACCCCTTTCGTCGGCCAGTCATAGACAGATAACATAAACGTTCAATCTCAGTTCTGGATTCTTTACCTCTTTGCTTCCAAACCCCTTTCGTCGGCCAGTCATAGACAGATAACATAAACGTTCAATCTCAGTTCTGGATTCTTTACCTCTTTGCTTCCAAACCCCTTTCGTCGGCCAGTCATAGACAGATAACATAAACGCTCAACCTCAGTTCTTGATTCTTTACCTCTTTGCTTCCAAACCCCTTTCGTCGGCCAGTTGCTGCGTGTGGTGCTCCAGGATCTCATTGACACAGAAGACGACGGCACGCGAGACGCCGGGCACGGCTATGTTCTCCTCTTGGGCCAACTCTTCCAGCTGCTCTACCACCCGCTGGTACTCTGGATGGGACAGGTGCCGACTTTGGTGGAGGTTAAAGGCCAGCTGCGTGACGTTATTTAACATCGAGGTCGCTGCTATAGCTGCTATAGCTGGCGGTGACTGCGTCTCTGGAGGCTGACTGGTGGTTTCTGTTGTATACGGTTTACAATCAGTGGCGTAGCGAGGTCGGGTGTCACCCGGTGCGGCACTTAATGGTGTCACCCCCCCCCCCCCCCCAGAGGCATAGAGACCCTTCCCAGGGACAAACTTTCAAATTTTCGATTTGCACACCCCCCCCCCCCTCAAACTTTCGATTTGCACCCCCCCCCCCTCGAGTTTTTCTCTATATATTTTGCTATTTTTTGCCTTGGTGTCACCCCCCTAAATGGTGTCACCCGGTGCGGACCGCACCCCCAGCCCCCCCCCCCCCCTCGCTACGCCCCTGTTTACAATAAATATATCTCTTTGTAAAAGAATTATTTAAAAATTGATAGTGTATTTCGTACATTGCCACGCACTAATCTCCTAATACATTTTTGAAATAACCTACGGTGGACACACATTTATTTTATTAATAATCACCCCCCCCCCCCCACCTTAAAATATAATAAATATTTATAAATTTATTAAAATCCTGTGTCATTTTGTGATCTTATTTTGCAATGAATCGGTTTCTTACCTTGCATATTTTGGATAATAACTGTAGTCACTTTGCTCCATTTCGGTACCATGTTTTCTTGTATGCTGAAATACAACAATTACGGTAAAAAAACGCAGATATTTAATTACATTTTACGTCGGTATCTTTAAAACGAAGGCTAAAAGTCCTATCCCTCCCACAACAAAATGTTGTAGAATAGTTTCGACTGGTTTCAAAAACAACAAAAAATGTAATTTGTTGTTCTGTTTCGTTTTGAGCCACATCCTGTTATCTTTGCGTAAACATTGCTAGCGGTCAAAACATATTGTATAGTGTGTACCAGAGAGAAGTAAGCAGAAAGTAATTGACGGGGAAAAAAGTTAAAATAGAGAAAGGAAAGCCCAAGTAATTGGATGGGAAAATAAAACGTGCGTAATCTTACCTAAACTTTCTCGAATATTCTTATACAACACTACGGGGGATAGCAACTCGGGATAAAAAGATGATTTTAAATCCATTTTTAATTACATAAACTTTTAAAGATCGAATAGATTCTCGAAGAAAAATGAATTGCGCACAAAGTGAACGGCAAACAATATGTACATTATAGTGCCGAATATTAATAGTACTTTATAAATTCACATGCGTTTTTTGAGAAATCGGAAATAGAGTAAATTTGACGGAAGGCAGACAATTACATCTTATACTTATATGTGAAATCTAGTTTATCTATCTTAAACTTTAATAAAGTTATAGGCTTTTAAATAACTGAAAGTAGAATAAGCCCCTTTTCCGGTTAGCAGAAATTGCTTAAAAGTTGATACAGAACTACACATTTGAAGTAATACTCATAGATAAAATTTCATCAACCTAGCTGTAACGGTACTCAAGTTATCTTGTTGAGAGACACACACACACACTTACACACAGACATACAGACACAAATGCAAAACTGTTTTTCCGACATGCAAATATCGATTTCGATTTTGTTACACGATTACAACACTTCCTCTATACTTCGTATACTAGAAAGTAATAAACGAATGTAATTGTAGGGAAAAACCGAAAGTATTTGGAGAAAGAAAAAAAAAAACGAAAGAAACTGGAAGGAAAAACAGAAAGTGTTTCGAGGGTTAACACCGAAATTAAAACAATGGAAGTTGAATAGTATTTGGGCAGTGGCGTAGGTAGGGGGGGGGGGGCTAGGGGGGGTCATAAACCCCCCCATAGACCCCTCGGTATATATATAAAGTATGAGGGGGGTGCAAAACGAAAGTTTGAGGGGGGTGCACATCGAAAGTTTGAGGGGGGGGGGGTGCTAATCGAAAGTTTGTTCCCGGGTAAAAATTGGAACCCCCCCCCCCCTTGAGAAGACCCTGGCTACGTCACTGTATTTGGGAAATGATTAATGTAAAAGAAAACAAAAACTACCATGCCCTGGTGTGTTTAGTTACACGACCGTTGACTGCATGATTCGGTTGAGTCCGAATTTCGCCGACATAGGCGTCTTTCCAAATCAGCTCAACGTCTGAATGCTTGGTAACTTCATAGAGGCAGTGCGGTTTATCTATGGCAAAGTAAAACGTTATTTATATAATTGTTGAATTTTGTCTTTCTTCCATTCTAACTGAAATTACGAGAAAATACTAAATAAAGAACAAGTAAAAGAAGAGTAACATATAGTTGGAAAAAGATTTAAAAATATGTTTAATATATTATAATTGTTTTTTTTTCTTTCTTTATATGTAATACCTGTTACACCATAGATTTCGCTGATAAAAAAATAAATGAGTTGGAATTATAATCTACTATGCATTATTTATCTGTAACAATACTGAAAAAAGTATGGGAAATTTTACTACAAAAATGTTTAAATGAGTAAAAATATCATTGTGGACAGGTGATTTTAACCACAAGGAAAAAAAAGCATTAATAAATTATAACCTCTAATATATAACAATAACAATAACTACAACTATAAATGCCTATGGTAATACTATTTAATGAAGGAATGTGATTTTAAAAATAAAAATGTATCCTTCTAATTTAGGCACGTAAACATACTTATTAGCTAAGGAACCTTACATTTAAAAAAAAAAATAGTTTATAATACAAAACTGTAAAAAGTGTCTAATATGACTTTTTTAAAATTTTTAATTGCAACTTTTTTCAATTTATGTATATTTAAAAATTAACGATTGAATAAGTTAACAAGGCATCCGAATGTACCTGAATCTGCAAGAAATACGGTACTTAGATCAACATTTTGGTCCTTGAAGTAGCCATCATCTTTATTTGCCTTGTCTAGAAAATCCTTGGCGATTTTTTCTTTGATCTCTTGGGCACTTTGCACGTTGAAAACAGTGGCGTAGAGTTTAGCAGAGACACGGATTTTGTCGTCCTCATCGAGTGAACTTCAATACAATTTTTAAAATAATTATTGAGAACTTAAAATATATGAATAGTGCTTAGGAGGCGTTTATCATAATTGTGTTTAATGTATGATGATTTATATTTAAACAAGTAAGTTTTCTATTTTTTTATATTTTTAAAAATATTTTTAATTTTTTTTTAAATTTTTACTAATCGAATTTTAATTTAAAAAATTAAACAGTTAAAACAGTACTTTGATGTATTTTGTTTTCTCGGGTTTTAAAATGAGATGGGTAGTAAAAATTATACGGACTGGTGCTGAAGTAAGTAGCTGTGGGAATTGTAAGAACCAAAGACAAGTTGAAGATTTTTCATGATAAATACAATACAACTTTCGTGTTAAACTCTTTCGGTTCTTTTAATTCTCTATTTGCTCACTGTTTTGCTACACTTTATCGCCTCACATAATGGATATTAATTAATTAACTAATAAAATATCAACTAATCTTGACCCAATTTAATTACACTTTAATGTTACTATATCATTTTTTTCTCCCTTTCACTTTTCTTTTCTATGTTGAGAATTTAGTTATGCAAGTATCATGCAAGAAATGCAATGTACGACCATTAGCAAGATATTTTTAATATTTCTATTTTAAATTTTATCAAATCTTAATTGTTGTTTATTCGTACATCGAAGCAAAAGACCAATCGCCCTACGTGTCTTATGTTGTCTCGGCACCCGTTGGTTGGGGTACAACTGTATACAGCAGATGTTACAAAATACCTTTAAATTTCATCGCTAGTACAATAAACCGGGAGTGATCTCCCCAAAACTTTCTCGAATATTCTTATTTAAAATAACAGGGGATGAGAACTCGGGCTATAGACATGACTTTTAATCCATTTTAAATACTTAAAGTTTTAAAAATAGAATAAAATCTCGTAGACAAAAGAATTGCACACCAAGTGAACGCCAAATAAAAAAGTGCATAATAGTGCGCAATATTATTAGTACTTTAAAAATTTACATTAATTTTTTTGAGAAATCGGAAGTAGCGTAAATTACTACTTCCGATCAACGGAAATTACTCAAAATTTAACAGAAGGTAGAGAATTCATTTATCTATCTGAAATAGTACTCAAGTTATAGGCTTTTGAAAAATTCAAAGTAGGAAAAGTACCACTTCCGGTTATCGGAAATCGCTCAAAAGTTGAAACGGATCTAAGATTTTGATAAAATACTTATATATGAAATTTCATCAACCTGGCTGTAACGGTGCTCAAGTAATCGTGTTTTTACACACGGACAGACACACACACAGACACACAGACATACGGACAAGATTGCAAAATTATGTTTTTCCGTATCAGTGAGGTGTAAAACGTCGAGATTTGTAAAAATCTCGATTTTTTTTTTGCACGATTACAATACTTTCTCTATACTTCGTATATACGAGAAAGTAAAAATGATCTTGCTGTAGACGAGTAAAACAAAATGTAACGTTTTTTGTAACAATAGGAATTAAAAAAAAAACAACATCAGACATCAATGTCACCTACAAGTAGTCTTGTACCCGTACATCAATCCCACCAATAAAATTGTGCAGCGTACGTCTGATCTTGAAAAAAAGAAATGACAAAATCATGAGTGTTGAATGCCATTATGACATAATATAAATTAATGATAATACAATAAGGAATTGTAAGGAGTATAGTGGACAAAAAATGAAATAAATGTATAACTTGTATTTTTATAGTTTGTCTTCGTTCTTAATTGTTATATTACAGTTGTTTTGTTATTCAACACTCTTGCGTATTATATTATTTAGATGAGTTTTTGCCCATCACTATAACGAGTTATGTGGCTATTGGAATGGTTTTTGTCCAACTCTTAAGGGGTTATTAGCCAAAAAATGTGGTCGAGTCGGTAAAGCTCATGTTTGCTGAACCAAAAAGTCTTGACTTCGAACCCTCGGGCAGATGAGGCTCGTTGGCTGGGGACAGCCACTCTTCTAGGAGAGACAAGTCCAAAATCAAACAACTGCTGCCTTGTAGTTTGTTCTTGGTTGAACAAAGTCTATAGAAGCAAATCCTAAAAGAAAAGCAGACTGAAATCGGAGTCAATGGCCTCAATGGCGCATAACCAGTTGACACGTATCCATAAATGTCGTTGAGATGGATCCCTTCCAACACTTAAATTAGGAACGAAGAAGAAGAAGAAGAAAGCCAAAACGTGTCTGCGCCGTAAGAGATGTTGACTCCGACTTCAGCCAGCTTTTCGTGTTAGATCTGCGCCGTAGCTTCTGTCCACTGAAACACAATCTGCAAGGCAGCAGCTGTTTCAAATTTTAGCAATTGCGGGCACTTTACCGCCACAGGCACACACACACACAGACACACATACACAGACACACAGACACAAACAAACACAAAACACACAAACCGATTGCACCCCTCAAAATGACAATGATCATCTTAAATGTATTATTAAATATACTTTTGACAATGACCCGCTCGTGTCATTGCATCAATGCTTTTACTTTTTAAAAAAACCAGAACGCTACAAATAAACCAACAGTTTACGTTATTAGAATCGTTATGGAACTATATATATATATATATATATATATATATATATATATATATATATATATATATATATATATATATATATATATGTGTATATATATACAGAGAGAGAGAGAGAGAGAGATAAATATAAGCTGATAATTATAGGAACTTACAGCTTTTGTTATATTATCACTACCATAACCTTTTTTGGAAAGCTGGTGTTGCTTAATAAAACTCAAGAAAAATTTGTGCTCAATAAATAAACCTGTACGAATAAAAAAGCATTTAAGGGTTAAACGTGCCAACAACTTTTACGAGCTGAGTTCTATCAGATTTGATTTTTATATGCTGGTGTTTATTTTACTATTTTAATTGTTTATTTAAGACCAGTGGCGTAGCCAGGATCGTCTCATGGGGGGGGGGGGGGGGGTTAAATTTTTTCCCGCATTATAAATGTATATATTAGAGGCGTAGCGTCCCTCCCCGGCCCCCGAGGACAAACTTTTCATTTGCACCCCCCCCCCCTCGAACTTTTTATTTGCACCCCCTCAGACTTTCGATTTTGCACCCCCCCCCTGCTCAACCTTTCTGTATCTACCGAGGGGTCTATGTGGAGGTTGTGACCTCCCCTAACCCCCCTGCCTACGCCACTTTTTAAGACGCTATTTTGTTTTGTTGCAAGTTAATATAATCTTATATCGGCATCATTATTTCCTTGTTCGTACCCACCACTTATAGATTAGGTGAAGTAGAGTTAATCTGTTTCAATAAACTCGACAATCAGGATATATTGCAGAAATTGCTATGTCCAGTTTTCTTAGTTTCTCTAGTGTAAATACAGCTCATATCAAAGCTTGTTTGAAGTCCTTCAGACTCAAGCTCAAGATTCGAACTGGAGACTTCCGTGTTAGCAGTCATGAGCGCTACAATCCCACCACGTCATTACCATAATTACCTCCTTCATTTTTCGGCTCGCAGGATTCCCCAAAGCAGCAGAAGTAGCACTCGGTTGTCTCGGTGCCTTCCGTGGTGCAGCTCATTCTGTTTTTCTTCTCTTGACTGAGGCAGGTGTCTTTATTTGTGCAGTTGAATGAAATAGAACCACCTAGTAAGTCGAAGCTGTATCTAGACTCACAGAATGACTGCACGAAAAGAAAAAAAAAGAAAAGCAACAAGGTATCTCTTAAAGAAACATTGAATAGAAATATAACTCTATTTATAACAGTAAAATTCTTTCGTCAGAAACACTATCTCGTGTATAAGATGGATGTTTAAAAATATGTCTTTTAATATTTAATTGACCTAAGTAAAAAACAAGTTTTTATGATATTTTGTCTATACATATTTACTTTATTTAATTATAGCTATGTCGGCTATATAATTGTAATTGACAAAAACGCATTTGAGCAGTTTATGTTGGTCAAAAATCATAGACCTTTATTAGATTGTAATTAATTGTGTGTTGTTTTTGTAGTGTGTTGTAGTATTATGTGTTTTGGTGTTACCCTGACAGATCCCAAGTAATTTGTTAATTTCACAAATATTTTAACTTCCCTCCCTTTTTTCTTCGGAATTTTCAACACAATACAGTCTGCGAAATCACCTTTCATCTGTCCTCTAAAATTTCTCAAGTAATTAGCCACATAGTACCAATTACTAAATGTTTCATTACTAACCCATTTCACCTCACATTCCTCAAGTAATTAGCCAACACAATACCGTATACAACATTTATTAATAACCTTTACACCCTTTTTCCTTCATATTTCTCAAGTAATTAGCCAACACAATACCGTATACAACATTTATTAATAGCATTTACACCCTTTTTCGTTCATATTTCTCAAGTAATTAGCCAACACACTACCATCTACATTATTTTTAAACCCGTGATCCATTTACTGTCACAGTTCTCAATGTAATTAGCTAAACGATAACAATTACTAAATCTTTCATTACTTAACCCTTTCACTTCACAATTCTCAAGTAATTAGCGAACACAATAGGCCTACCAACTACACAATGTATAAGCCCTTACCCCTTTTACATTACAATTCTCCAGTAACTTAGCTTACACAATACCATCTAAAATGTATTAACCATTACTCTTTATCCTCACAATTCTCAAGTAATTATCTAAAACAATACCATTTACAACTTGTATCAACCCTTGACACATTGTAATTCTCAAGTAATTAACTAAAAAAATACAATTTTTAACTTTTATCAACCCTTGACACATTGTAATTCTCAAAACATTAGCTTACACAATACAATATAAATTGTATTAACCTTTACTCTTTATCCTCATAATTCTCAAGTAATTAGCTAAAACAATACCATTTACAACTTTTATCAACCCTTGACACATTGTAATTCTCAAGTAATTAGCTTACACAATACAACATAAATTGTATTGACCCATACACTTTATCCTAACAATTCTCAAGTAATTAGCTAAAACAATACCATTTACAACTTTTATCAACCCATGACACATAGTAATTCTCAAGTAATTAGCTAAAACAATACCATTTACAACTTGTATCAACCCTCGACACATAGTAATTCTCAAGTAATTAGCTAAAACAATACCATTTACAACTTGTATCAACCCTTGACACATTATACCTCACAATTCTCAAGAACCTAACAACCACACCACCAACTACACAGGCTATTGCTACTCACTGATTCTTCCTCGCACATGACATTTTGATCACACGAGGAAAGTGTGTTGGCTCCGTCACACGAGGGGCACACTTTTGCATGAGCGTACACTATCGGCGTGCCTGCGAGAAAACACGATATGGCAGTGTTCTGGTTTAACTATACCCAACTAAAAACGTTTGACCATTTTGATGCTTAACTATACCCAACTACATCATTTGGTTGGATTGAAGTATACTATAATAATTTTTAACTTTTTCCTCATATATATATAAAAATAAATAAATAAATAAATATATATATATATATATATATATATATATATATATATATATATATATATATATATATATATATATATATATATATATATATACATATGCCTACTTAATTTTCACCTAACATCTGGGTATTTATTATTGCTGTGCATTCTCCTGGCTGACCAAATTGTATGTGACCTAGTAACTAACCTGCCAGACTTGTGTTCGTTAAAAAAAAAAATTGACAACTGTTCTATACGGAGGAAGACCTTGGGTCGATATTTCCGCTATATAATTAATTGTCTACAATGTGTACAGATACTAACACTACCTGTTTTTACTACTAGCTTGCATGAACCTCACAGCAGCTAACACTTCCATGTATTAGCTCCTCAGTAAAAATGATCAGCTGTTACAACCTGCTTGTATTTGTGTTTATACAAATGATCGCTGATTTACAGCGACAAAGATTATAAAGTTAGGGACGGTGTGGTCGGGTGGTTAATATTACGATTGCTAACCCAAAAAGTCTCGAGTTCGGATCACGGTATCTGTACGACGTCATTGAATCAACCCAACTCTGATGGGTTCTTGACTCAGGTTGAGGAAACAAAAAAGGGCATCGAATTGACAACACTACCCCCCCCCCTGTATCCCGAGGCCATTGACACAGACGAACACTACTTCATATGCCCTATGGGCAGGGGCGTAGCGAGGGTGTGCGGATCGCACCGGGTGACACCATTTAGGGGGTGACACCAAGGCAAAAAATAGCAAAATATATAGGGAAAAATGATGGTGGAAGGGGGGGGGATGCAAATGGAAAATTTGAGGGGTGGGGTGCAAATCAAAAGTTTGAGTGGGTGGGGCGTGCAAACCGAAAATTGAAAGTTTGTCCCCGGACGCCGGGAAAGGTCGCTACGCTTCCGGGGGGTGACACCATTAAGTGCCGCACCGGGTGACACCCGACCTCGCTACACCACTGTGTTTTGGGCACGAACGATGAAAATTGTAAACGTTTACCAATACACTGAAGAAATGTGGCGTCCTCCATACGTAAAGCATAGAGCGACAACAACTGAGTGCCTGTATTACAGTAGATAGCACTGAGCGCTTTCTGTGTCGATAATATGGAAAACATTTGCCTGAGTTCCCACCTAATCTGTAGCAACTGGCACGTGCAGAGGAGATCAGACGAGTCGATGTGTCTGGGAAAAAAACAAGTTCGAAATCAATTATCTTAATTAGCAATGATTGAACAGGCGCATGCCTTTAGACGTGACAATGTTAGTACATGCTTTGCATTTTTTTTAGTAAGATATTATAAAATACCCTAGTAGATATCCGATTTATATGTAAAGGAAAGAAGAATTAATCTATTAACGCTGTTAGGTAGTTTAATAAATGATAGTAATTTCAGTCGTCTTTACTTTCCCATACTTATTCCGGGTAGCGAATTCAGTGTGGTAGCTCAAGGATATCTATGGGGCCGGGGTCTATGGCACTTGTCTACTCGGTGAGCAATCGTGTGGTATACAGATCTAATTGGTTACTTCATTAACTAGATACCGACTAATCAGCGAACGTCACGGGGGAATAAGAAGTTCAGCTTGATCCTTTTGTTAAGCCTGTTAGGTTAGTTTTCCTTCCGAAGAGCCTGGTTTGTCGGACTCCCAATTCCCCTACATTATAGCGTTGGGGAGGAGAGGTGCAAGACTGCTCTCGACCCTAACCAGATATTTTGACTTTAAGCTGCGGCCTTCACGTGGCTTCGGAAGAGTGCCATTAGTCGGACCAAACTCATGACCCCCCCCCCCCCCCCCCAAAGGGTGCGGAATGGCTAGTGGTAGCCAACAGCAGCTAGAGGTTTTTGATCTGGCCGAACGCCCCCCACGATCAAGCTGGGTACCAGGCGGTAGGACGACGTTCCGCGTATGGTGGGTGGGGAAGGAAAGCCCGGTGAGAGCCGACGGAAGTAGCGACCGATGTGTGGGAAACTCTCGTGGTCGGGGTTTGCTACACTGAGGCCTGCCTGGCTAATGGGAGTCCAACACTTTGCTACACTGAGGCCTGCCTGGCTAATGGGAGTCCAACACTTTGCTACACTGAGGCCTGCCTGGCTAATGGGAGTCCAACACTTTGCTACACTGAGGCCTGCCTGGCTAATGGGAGTCCAACACTTTGCTACACTGAGGCCTGCCTGGCTAATGGGAGTCCAACACTTTGCTACACTGAGGCCTGCCTGGCTAATGGGAGTCCAACACTTTGCTACACTGAGGCCTGCCTGGCTAATGGGAGTCCAACACTTTGCTACACTGAGGCCTGCCTGGCTAATGGGAGTCCAACACTTTGCTACACTGAGGCCTGCCTGGCTAATGGGAGTCCAACACTTTGCTACACTGAGGCCTGCCTGGCTAATGGGAGTCCAACACTTTGCTACACTGAGGCCTGCCTGGCTAATGGGAGTCCAACAGTTTGCTACACTGAGGCCTGCCTGGCTAATGGGAGCCCAACTCCTGAGCCGGTTTCCGTATTAGGGAGGGAGCAATCGTGTGGTATACAGATCTAGTCGGTTACTTCATTAACTAGATACCGACTAATCAGCGAACGTCACGGGGGAATTAGAAGTTCAGCTTGATAATATTGTTAAACCTGTTGGGTTAGTTTTCCATTTGAACAAATTATAATCGGCAGAGTTCACGGTCAACTTAGCAGAAACGTAGGTGTAAAGATTACAGTCAGTTGCTCAGTCCGCTGGCCATTCATACACAGATAAACTCTACTTCATCTGTCCCATGTGTCTTGGGGACGAACGGGAATAGATGTCATTTTACAATATTACATTACATACTTCACCCAGAAGCACTTTACATGAACATCAACCTTTCGACAAACTCCCCTCCGTGTTGATATCATTAATATATAACAGTTATTCGAACAATTCGACTGCTCTACTAAAAGAACGAAGGCTACATTTTGCTAACGGCATTATTTATAAGACAATAACACCAACAAATACTTACGCTTCGACCTGAAAATTACCAATGTGCAGTAATGTTCGCTCATCGATTTCGTGGATTGGATTGGAGCTTAAATTCCTGATTTAGAAATAACGCAATTTTTTTTTTGTGCTGCTAATGTTTTGTTAAAAATAATGTTCTTTATATTATTAGATTAAATATGCTATAACAAAAAAATTCAGTTTGCGCCCTTTAATACATCAGTGACGTTAAAGGATAATTCATATTCATTAACCACCTTAGTAGTTCCGAATCTCATATGCTCACAATAATATATTTGAATCATTAAACAAAAAATAAACCAGAGGCGTAGCGAGGGGGGGGGGGTGCAAACCCCACCGGGTGACACCATTTAGGGGGGGTGACACCAAGGCAAAAAATAGCAAAATAGAGAAAAACTTGAGGGAGGGGTGCAAATCGAAAGTTCGATGGGGTGGTGCAAATCAAAAATTTGAGGGGGGGGGGGGTCGCAAATCGAAAATTTGAAAATTCGTCCCCGGTAAGGGTCGCTACGCCTCTGGGGGGGGGGTGACACCGTTAAGTGCCGCACCGGGTGACACCCGACCTCGCTACGCCACCGAAATAAACATCGATATTAGTGATATGTATGTTTTGTGTTATCTAAGTAATGGCATGCTGTGGTTTCGAGATATCCAATATGTTTATTCATAACAACAACCCACATCGTTCCCTTGTATATTTTGATCTCCAGATCCCCTAATTTCTCAATAAATCCCAATACCTCTCTCAAAACTTCCAACCTCCATATATTTATATCTTTATTCAACCTCTACACTAAAACCTACTTTCCATGCTGAACACCAAATTCTTACCCCGCCCCCCTCCCTCCCCCACCACCCAGCCCAATCCTCACGGTCAACCCCTGATCCACACACAAAGCCTATAAAAATATGATTCTCATCCCCATAGCCCCTTTTAAATTACATACACGATATATCTATTGTGAATACTTACAACGTTTGTAGCGCGAATAAGTTTCGTATATTTAAAGTATCTGTAGTAAATAACGTTAGATTATTCCCATCCAAGTACCTGAATCATTGTTACAAAATGATATGGTTAAAATAAAAAGTTAGTAAAATTTCACATATAAATAATATAAATTATATATATATATATATATATATATATATATATATATATATATATATATATATATATATATATATATATATATATATATATATATATATATATATATATTGATTAGTTAGGATGGCCACTATTGGCTATTTAGCCCCCAATTATTTTTTTATCTACTTTAGTTCGTTGCAAAACATAGCTCTTTTAGAAATAATCAAGCTTCAGACAGGGTCTAAAACCACGTCTAAAACGTTTTTGAAGTCCTATAGTTAAGAGGTTATTGAATTACTAAATAAAAATGAAATGAAATATAAATAAATGTATTACAATTTTTGAAGCAATGGTAAAGATAGAAACGCATTCTTGTGGATGCTGACGATTTCATTGTTAGAGAGGATTCTGAAATAAAAAAAACACGAAACGTTATAAATGTACATAAAACATATCTATATCTACAAACGTGTTTACACACACACCCCCACCCCCCACACACATAGAGATATAGATACACACACACACACAAACACACACATATACATACATTTATATATATATGTATATATATATATACATATATATATATATATATATATATATATATATATATATATATATATATATACATATGCATATATATAGAGTTTACCTACGTACATAGTTTCTGTAACACCAACGCTCCTAAAATCATCCTCTAGTATCCGTGTTATTTTGTTATTGGATAAGTTTCTAAAGAAGAAATACATACAGATATAAAACAATTATATTCATTTTCTCTTTAATGTATTTGGAGATGTAGTGGTAGCCCAAACGAGCTCGTGTTCGAGTCGGGTTTCGAGTCCGGGTTCGAGTCCGTCCCCACGTCCCTAAGACCATGTAGCTCTGATGGGTACCTACTGATGTTAAGGATAGGAAAGATGGCTGGGCATAGTGCTGAACACACGGGATTGACTGGAACGGTGTACTCTCATCTACCAGTAAGCTTTGTAGAACACTGTTAATTGTATACAGAGTTTATTTCAAAGTACTTCACCCAAATAGGAGCATGTCCACCGCCCCCCTCACCCCCCTCACCCCCTCCCGCACACACATAAATAGAAAAAAAAACATAATTTAGAAAATACGTTTTAAAAACTACGCTCCACCCACCAGAAAAAAAAATTAGATCACCCCCCTTCCTGTAAGTTTCAATTGCCTCCTTGACTAGATAAAAATATATATACAAAACTATCATTGCAAAGTTCCTATTTTAATTTTTTTCTTTTAAAATAGCAATAATTTTAATATATTTATGTGGCCAGCCTTTAAGTGAAACGTTCGACCACCATCCCAGCCCCCCAATTGACGCCATCACCACCATACTCACACCCCGCCATCACCACCATACTCACACCCCTCCCTAACGCCATCACCACCATACTCACACCCCTCCCTAACGCCATCACCACCATACTCACAACCCCCTCCCTAACGCCATCACCACCATACTCACACCCCTCCCTGACCCCATCACCACCCTACTCACACCCCTCCCTGACGCCTTCACCACCATACTCACACCCCTCCCTGACGCCATCACCACCATACTCACAACCCCCTCCCTGACCCCATCTCCACCATACTTACACCCCTCCCTGACGCCATCACCACCATACTCACACCCTTCCCATAACGCCATCACCACCCTACTCACACCCCATCACCACCATACTCACACCCTTCCCTGACCCCATCACCACCCTACTCACACCCCTCCCTGACCCCATCACCACCCTACTCACACCCCTCCCTGACCCCATCACCACCCTACTCACACCCCTCCCTGACGCCTTCACCACCATACTCACACCCCTCCCTGACGCCATCACCACCATACTCACACCCCTCCCTAACGCCATCACCACCATACTTACACCCCTCCCTGACGCCATCACCACCATACTCACATGGTCTCAGCTTTAGTTCGGAGGTTCAGCGGCACACTCTCCAACAGCGGTGTCCGGTTCTGGCAGCTGATCGTCTTCTCCGTGCACGAACAGCTGCCGGGGTCAGTTGCAGAGTTGCAGGTAAAGCTCACCTGGCTCACAACGAGAATCGGTTCAACTGAGATCATGACGAGCAAGATCCGAGTCATGCGTCTAACGTAGGTCCGTGGAGTCATGTTGCAGGCAGTGCCTGGCGTCATCTTAGGTCCTGTTGGTTATGAATCTCGTAGTGTCTTTAAATTAAGGCTGCCACCTGTGTAGGTTTGTCCATGTCTTTGTTCCCACATATCTTCATTATGAATCTCGTAGTGTCTTCAAATCAAGACTGCCACCTGTATAGATTTGTCCATGTCTTGACTCCCACATATCTGCTATCCAGATTGATATATTGACACCGAGCGTGTATAACTAAGGCTGACTATTGAACTACATCATCCTGGCTAAATCGCGCTCTCTAGAAATCTTAATCTCTTGAGGGATTAGAAAAGTATAATACACTTTTTTAGTCAAATTAAAAGCATGTTATTATTATTATTTTTGTTGTTGAAATTACTATATCTATACATTTAATATATATTTACATTGAAAGGACTTGCTTAAAAACCTGAAATGCTACATTCTAACAATTGAAAGAATCGTATTGTATTATACAGTTTAAGTCATAAATGCCGTTCTTGACAGAGAAATGCAACACATTTTTAATGTATGTAGGTAAAATGAATAATTTGTAGATATATTACTTTGGTTTGTGTACGAACTATGGTAAATTAATCGTTTAAAAATTAGGTTACTTTGCACAGGTGAGCAAAAACCACCCTCCAACACCCCCCCCCCCTTCCAAGACAATAATGTCTGACAGAAACTTTGGGTAAGATATTATCTCTTTGGTTATATATGAGACTATAAAAGGTTGAGATTAGACAATGTAGTATCTTTTAGACATCTATGGGGGAGGGGGCGGGGGAGAGAGAGCATTATCCCACGGAAACAAGTCCAACGCACACCCCGGACGAAATATAGAAACAAAATCTAATTAATACAGAAAAAAATATATTTAACCGCCAGCTCCTTAAACATTCAAAAAGGGCCACTCTGCTTTCCTGCCCCCACCCCCCCCCCCCACACACACACACACACAAATGTCTGAAAAAACTCTGGTTGAGTTTTTATTAATATAGTAATGTACAATGTGTAGAAAGCGTGTAACACAACATAACCTCTGTTAATTTGAATGATTAATGGAATGTGCTATTAAAGATTCACATTTCTTTATTAATAATAAATAGATTGACCGAACTTCCTCAACCAACACGTTCATTGGATACAAACTAATAGTTAGGAATGTATTTCATATCTTTTTAGTGATATGAATTTTGGAAGGATAAAGTATGCAATGCGATCATCAACATTTTTGCAGGTGTTAAAAGTGAAGAATTATAGATACCTTTCTTTAGACTTAAATTAAAGGCACTAGGTTAAAGAAATAGCATTGTTTGAAAACAATGAAAAACACTGTACACAAATAGAGTTCTATTTCCGTTCAAAATATGGCGTACAGAGATTTCGTCGTGAATGGTGCAATACAGTGCGAAAAATATTGCAATTTGATAGTGCTTAGAAAATACTTGTTAATACTTGTTAATATCAAAATATTTGATTGAAATATTTTGTTTATAAAATCAACCTTCAATCAATACGATTTAATATGACTTGATATTACTAGATCTTTTTTCTGTTATCATCTCTCTCTCACACACACACACAGTCACACACATAAATTAAAAAACACTTACAAGCGCATACACAAACATACACACACATATATACACTTACACACTTTTCTTCACTCCGCAGCAAGCAGATTATCATACACACACAAACACATGCACAGACACATATAAATATACATAGACATACACCACACGGACACACTTTTCTTTACCCTACAACAAACATATTACCACACACACACATACACCCACACACACGGACACACGCATAATAATATACAAACACACTTTCTTTCTCCCGCTGCCAACAGCGTATGCCAACAGAGTATCCCCCCCCCCCCTAAACAAACAAAACACGACCTATATTCTACGTGGGACTTGTTAAATCATAGCGGTAAGACAGACTTAAGTGCATGTGGACAGCAAGCTTTCTGACCCAAAATAAACTTAAATGTTCACAATGATAAGAAAATGAACAAGTAGAAAACTTGAATGAAATAAATCTTACTAACTGTCTATTAAATATGCAGCCAAACACATGTGTTATTTTAAGTCGGTGGGGAAAACACTGGCACATACAATAATTGGATTACGCTACTGTTGTACGTTTAAAGTTTTAATTTTTTTTCCTTAAAAAAAAAGTAAACTATTAGATAAAGGGGCATAAACTCGTATATTTAAAAAAAATGATATTCGCCCGTTTATACTTGCAATTATCTCCCTTGCATGTCAACTTGAATGTCAAAGCATTGATGGTATACATGTTAAATGACGATGATCTCTGTTGTTGCCTGTTTATTTATTTATTACTGAGCCACTTCAACTTTCCCAGAATTTAAAACGCTCTTAGGTTTTATTGTCGGCCACAAAAAGTCATTGTTTCAGGACCTACATTCTATTTGGGCTTACATTTGGTTGTTTGTTCCTGGCAACTCTTCTTCTCCTTCGTTCTTAATTTTAGTGTTGCGAGGGATTCCCTCCAAGACAATGCAGTATTACGTGTCAACTTGTTAGGCCGTTGTCTCATATTTCAGCCTGCTTTTTTGTTAGGATTTTATTCCAAAGCCTTTGTCCAACTAAAAACAAACTACAAGGAAACATGTGTTTGACTTCGGAGTATTTTCTCCTAGATGAGTGGCTGTCCCCAGCTATTGAGTCTCATCTATACAAGGGTTCGAACTCAGTAGTTTTCAGTTCAGCAACCACGAGCTTAACTGACCCGACCACGGTGACCGCTTTTATCTCAAACGTCAGCAATAATGATAACGTGTCATTCTACCCAGCGGCGTCGCTAGGTGGGGTGTCACCTGGTGCGGCACCTCATGGTGTCACCCCACCCACTTTCCTTTTTTTCGCTCTGTGAATTTTTGCACTTGGTGTCATCCCAGTATTTAATGTGTTCATTAAATACTAATGATGTTCATCTACAGTCGGTTGTTAATACAGCTGGGTGTAGCATTTAAATATTTTTAGCTCTAATTAGCCATTCATTGAACTAGCAAAAACATGATTATTCTATTTATCTTGCATTTTTTTTCCCTTGGTGTCACCCCCCTGGATGGTGGCACCCTGTGCTGTCCGCACTCCCCGCACCCGTCTCGCGACGTCACTGATTTTACGCAAGTGTCTTTAAATTTCCCCTCCCCCTCCCACCCCCGCACACACATGACCCCCACTCAGG